CCCCAAAACCCCAAAACCCCAAAACCCCGATAGACTTTCATAACCGACACTTAATTACTTGCAAACTAAAATTAAATTTATAACAATATAATGGACGATCATAGAAGAGACGACCACAAAGACAGATTTGATCATTTGCATCACGCTCCATCTAAAGAGGACTTGCCTGAGAAGCAGTAGATTCAACTCAACCTCTACTCAAAGCAATTGGATTTCTTTGCATTTGAGAATCATATGAGATAGATCATGCACACAGTATTAGAACCTATTTCTTCAAAGTTGTCGGATAACAGATTATCAGTCGATTTATTGAGAAAAGATTTTGAGATAAGCGAGAGAATAGTCTCAAATCTAGAGGAAATAGTATTAAATAAATAGAAAAAGAATAATCTCACTGTATTCGACAAACTCTACAATAAGCTAGCAGATATAGTAAATTCTTACTTAATAATATTATATTTTGATAGGCGAGCGAATCTCACGAGAGAGATGAAGAATTAAAAAAGAAATTAGATATCTTGACAATCAGAGTCAGCTAGAATGAAGAAAATATATTCACCCTATTGGCATAAAATCAAAGAATTGAATCACATATACATATAGCTTTAAAAGATGTCTCCACAGTCTAAACTGAGACTTAACAGTTCAAAGAAAAAGTAGAGACCATACTGAAGGAAGAAACTGACTAAGTGAATCAAAGATGGGCTTAGATAAGGCTCAGAGTGAAATAGATAAATGATCTCGTAAATGATGTTTAAAAATAATAAAACTTCGCACAAGATGACATTAGTAGATAATCAAACATGTTGATCTCCCACTAGACCTACATTGAAGCCATGAACAGACGAATAACCCTTAACGAGTAGATCAAACTAGATGAAAAAACATTTCAGTAAAATGAGAAAATGATTGACTAAAGATTGAAGGAGTTGAACAATAAATGTATCGATGTGATGAATAATTTGAAGTCTACAGATAATTACTTGGAAAAGTATCTGCCTTTTAATGTATTCTGCTAGCTATTTGAGGTATTAAGACTAACTTTAGACTAAAATCATATAAAAAGAGTCAAGGATTATGAGGAATTTAGGTTGAAAGAACTGTATGATATAATCTTGACTGACTAGGGCGATACTAAAACCACATTCAACAAGAAGTATGTTATTTAACCAGTGGGTTATAATTTTGACGAGCTAAAGAGCAATGAAACAAAGCTTCAATCAAAAAGTAAAAGATTTATTATGGGTAGACCAAGCTTATCTTCATCAATTAAGCTTGATGACGAAGGAAATCCAATACCAGATCCCATAAGGCAACCAGGGAAAAATTCATTTTATGGAATGGGAGCTCGTTTCTAGTAAAAGAAAAAGAATCCTAGGAAGAAAAACGATTCTTTGCCAGAACTCACTAGAGCTTCTTAATCTATGAAGGAACAAAGGCCAGAGCCAATGACTGCAAAAGATCTTAAGAATTCTCCCTTAAAAACTTTAGTTGAAGATCCCAAAGGAGAAGATTTCAGTTAAATTACATTTAGTGATGAGGAGGAAGAAGTGGATGTTGAAGTAGACGAGAGAATGAATGATGCTATTGAAGATCTCTTAGCTAATATGCACGAAGATAATAGCAGTTTAGGCATAAAAAATCTAGATTATCTTAAGAAAAAGTTATTTGATCCAGAGATAGAACTTATTATGAAGAAAGTCGATACAAAAATAATTGAAATGAATTAGAAATTTGAAGAGGAGCGCAAGAAATTCCTAGTTGATTATCAAATAATCAATTCTCATAAGAACTCTGTTATAGAAACCTTTGCACTCGAGATTGATGGGTTCAACAAAAAGATGGCTGAGCATTAAACGAATCTATAGTCTGGTATATAGAAGTTTTAGATATAAATTGACAAACTGCAGAATATGTATAATTACCTATCCATTAAGATAGAGAATGTAAGAGCTAAGAGTCAAGGTCCTAGTGGTAGCTCTACAAGTCACTCAGTATATCATACTCAAATGAGGAACAACATGACAGAGATAAAGAGTAGGAATTTACATTCATCTACCTTAATCACAGATCATGGAAATAGGACAAATCAGACAAATGCTAGTACAAGAATATCTAATTATAATGTTACTAGCGCCCTAGATTAAATTAAAAGCTACAATAACCAGAATCTTTACATATAAGGTGGACAGGTTATCACATCCAGTGACTCTTTGAATTAAACTGTACATGTTGGAGGCAAAGAAGATGTTCACTTGCATTCCTAGAATGTTTTTTAGACAGCTGAAAATAGACCAAGGACTGCGATTATCAGGCCTCATAAATCCAAGAACAAGAGAATGATAGTTATACCAATGAATAATAGCAATAACAATAACAAGCAAGATGCAAGTTTGTAAAATTCCCTTATACTCTGAGTAAAAATGTTTAAAAAAAGCAACACTAATTCTAAGGAAGTATTAATCATTTGAGGTTTAATTATTCTTTATTTCATAAATCATTTCTACTTGGTAATAACTCATTAGATTAGAGTCATGGGGTTTTGGGGTTTTGGGGTT